AGGGGGGGGGGGGGGGGGAGTGTGCACGTGCAAGTATTTGGCTTCCACTAGAACAGCATTTCCCAATCTTAGTAATTTCAAGGTGTGTGGACTTCAACTTCCAGAATTCCCCAGCCAGCATGCTGGTTGGGGAATTCTGGGAGTTGAAGTCTGCCCACCTTAAAGTTGCCAAGGTTGAGAAAGATTGTACTAGAAAATCAGAGAAATGAAAAGTAATGGATTTCCCAATTACCTGAGAAAATTACTGAGAGCTCATACTCCTATACATAAGAGTAGAAAGATTTCTAGAATCCACTATATAATTGTTCTTGCCAGCCATCTTACAAAGCAGGGAGGTGGATCCTTCAAAGATCCAAAATAGATAACAATGAATATATCCCTAGTAATTGGAGGATCTTGCTTCTGGGCAAGTGTGGTGGTGGAATTCTGAATGAAACTTTTGAGGAAAATTTCATATCAGATATATTCTGGATTATATCAATAAATGAGAGGAAGTAGATCTAAGTGGCCATAGTTATGTATCTATTCTGTAAAAAACACCCAGCAATTTCTCAAGTACTTTGAATGTTAAGCTCTGTAGTCAGTTGCCTTAGGAGCCCTAAGAACTCTCCAGGTCACCCTCTTACAGGACTGATTTGTGCAGGATGTATTCTTTATTTGTCACAAATAGGCAGAATTAATTTTGCATTCTTTGAGTGCTTCCAACACAATATAACAGCAATGCCTCATTTTCCTTCTGTTGATTTAGGATAAATGGGAACAGCTGATCATGCAGGAGAAATCAGTGGAACTCTTTGAACATGTGAGCTTGATGACACTTGATAGCATCATGAAATGTGCCTTCAGTTATAACAGCAACTGTCAAATGTACAAGTTGGTATTGCTTTTCTTTTAACTTTGGGTAAAAACTCCTTTTATTACTGGCAGCATCCAAGTGGTCCCTTCCACATAAATGCTCCCTATTATAAAATATACCATCTTTGTATTCTGTAATGTGCAGAATCACAATGGTGCCATTTACACTTTTCATGACTGTCCTTTTTATCTAATATGACATAAGTTATTTTCTTTTGCAATCAGATAAAAATTGCAGTTAAGTCCCCCAAAGAACCAATATTTGCCTCATTGCTCTTATACATTATGCCTCATGTCAATGTAGTCTAGCACTGAGTAATCAAGGTTTAGAGAGTCAGTTTGGTATAGTGGTTAAGGCTACAAACTAGGAGATTGTGAGTTGTAGTCCTGCCTTTGGCACAAAGCCAGCTGGGTAACCTGGGGCCAGTCATTCTCTCAACCCTAGAAAGCAGGCAATGGCAAACCACTTCCAAAAAATCTTGCCAGGAAGACTGCAGAGATTTGTCCAGGCAGTCACCAGGAGTCAACACAGACTTGAAGGCACACACACACACAATCAAGTGTTTTGCAGCCAGGGACTATTCTTGTTCCCCTATTCTTTTTGGCTGATGAGGCTGAAAGGGGGCAGGACAATAATGGCATGCTAGTGGTCACAGCTATTTTTCCAATACTTGTCTTTGGGGGGATTTCCAAAAAGGAGTGTGAGGTGGCTGTGTATGATGCACTAAGCACACTGAGAGGCTTCACACACCTTATTTCTTTTCTATCCCACCTCCCCTCCCAGAAATCAGTGGAAAATTATGCCTCCACAGTTCAGGGATTTGCTGTCAGATTTTGGCAATGGACTTAAGGTCTCCCCAAACCAAGATTTGACATCTTCTTGCAGCCTGTGGTACAGACTGCCCACCCCTGGTTTAGGATGGTTGGATGGCAATAAAATGCCCTGGGAGGCTATATTGTATTAGTTAATGAACAGTCAGAGTTCCTTTTAAATAGCATTCCTGAAATATTAATAGGCTTATCTTATCTTGTCTATAATATATTATAACATTATTATCAGTGGTGTGCTAGAGCCGGCTTGTACCGGCTTGCGAGAGCCAATTGTTAACTTGGTTGTGAGCTGAGCTGTGTCACGACACCTAGCACGCTCGTCAGCTATGCAGCGACTAGTGGCAAAGTGGCAGCAATGGAGTTGACAGAGCGGGTTGTTAAACATTTATCAGCACACCACTAACTATTGTCCAGAAAGCTGAAATGACATAAAGTAAATTTGATGGTTTGTGATGTAATTCTATGTAATTTCTTCTAATCAGAAGAAAACTTCATTGAGTTCAGCAGAGCTCTTTCCAGATAAGAAAGAACAGGTTGTTTCGATACTACTGTTTGAAGACTATAGAGTAGTAACAGTGTTCATATTTAAAGTCCTGAATCTATTCTTTGATTTTCCTATTGTCTTTTAGAGAAAATTCTTATGTCCAAGCTGTCTTTGAGCTTTCATTCTTGCTATACACCAGGATATACCACATTGTAGGCCATTGTGATTTTCTATATTGGTTCAGTTCCCATGGATATCGGTTTCGGAAAGCCTGCCAAATTGCTCACCTTCATACAGGTATTTTTCCAATTCTTTGGCTCTTGATTTTGGGAGTTCAGTTTGGGCTATGCTAGCCTGCTATCAGACCCAGAGGAAGGTAATAATAAAAATGTCTGAAGAACAAAAAAGAAGCAAATTTTTAAAAAATGTGTAGGGAAGAATTTATACAAAGTAGGATTTTTGTTCAATCCACCATTTTAAGTACTTCTGCATAATTTACATTTCATGTGTAATTTAGAATGTTGCTGTCTCAATCTGTGCGATTCTTCAAATTTTGCAGTGCGCTTCAGTGAAAAAATATACTAAAATTGTATGGAAAAATGAGCACACCAGTTGTACTTTGGGGGGGAAATAAAGTCCATTTCAGTATGAACTTTTGTGTATTTTTTAAAAAAGCAGAAAATGGAGGGGAACAGACTTATAAATGTGTAAGAATCTGTTCACCTTTTTAATAATTTGTCAGTACATATTTGTGTGATAATTGCTATTTGATTTCAAAGAATGATTAACTGTCAACTGGGCTTGGCTGGTGCTGAGTCAGGACTACGGTCACTGCAAGACCTAATTGGTCATTCCCCTCCTTCCCATCCATGCTGGGAAGGTGATGCTTAGAAGTCCCATGGAAATATTAAGACGTAAAGGCAAGATTCTCTCTCTTTTTTTTTTTTAAAGTCATCCCCTGGGGTAGAAGTTGTTCCTATAAAGTTTAAGTTGGACACTGGGGCTGAAGCAATGTTTTTCCAGTTCATTATTTGAACAAGTTAACAGCCTTTGTGAAGTTATTTCATTCCACTGCTACGTCAATTACATGGTGGTTTTAGAACTCTGTAGGAGTATTCATTCTAAGGGCAGTTCTACACTGCTGCCTAAGCTGTTTGTTTCTTAAGCCAGTTTCAGAAATTCTAGTTCAGACTGCAGTGCTCTCCCCACTCCCAACATCAAGGTTTAGCATCTCTGATTTACTGATGTTACCAAATAAAATTTAATTTATACCAATTCTAGATATCAGTTTTGCTTCATTCATATTTTTAATATAATAAACTCAAACAGAATACTGACATCTAACTACAGCAGAACAGCTTGTGGCCTTTCTTCAGATGAAGAGATAATGCATTATAGCATTGTTGTAAACTTAGTTTCAAATCATAGACCAAGGAAATCACGCAATTGCTATAATATTATAAAACAAAAAAAAAGTGATTCTAATTAAAAAGGTTAACGTGATGTACAATTACTGCATTTTCTGACTCTATAAGTAGTTACCATAAGCAAGCTTAAACATAGGAGTTAGTTTGCTTTTTCTATCTCTGGCTCATAGTTTTCATTGTTTTCTGTATAAATTTACACAGATGGGTTTCAAAGGCATCTTTCAGTTTAATATTCAGAATATCCTTAAAGATCTTTGAAATTAAAATAATAGCATAATGGCTGATAGATAGCATAGTGGCTGAAAGAAGTAGAAACAGCAAGACATTTCCATTGCATAGAAAGTTATCATGTAGGATTTTATGAATAATTAATTTTGATTTTATGAATACAAGTAGTCCCCAGTTTAAGAACAAGTTCCGTTCCCTTAAGTTGAATTTGTATGTAACCGGAACACTATTATTGTATAATACTGTATAAGTAGTATGGTGTAATTAACTCAAACCATTGTGTATTTAACTTGAATCCATTTTTGCTACAATAGGCTCTGTTCTTAACTATAGGTCGCCGTAAACCAGGTATTCTTGACTCGGTGACTACCTATAATTAAAGATGAGTATAGTTCATATCTTGAGTTTAATAAATTCAAAGTAATCACAGTAGAATTCCATGGCAGAAGGAGGTAATAGAAAAGGAGTCGAAGTTCCTAAAAAAAGTAAATACTAAAGGGATCCAAAGAATTGCAGAATCAGTCTGACACTGGTATCTGGGAAAGTTATACTGTAGAGCAGTTCATAAAAAGGTTAGTATGAAAAAACCTTGAAAACAGATTTGTAATTACCAGAAGTCAGCATGGAGTTCTGGAGAAAATTTTTGCCAGATTAATTTTTTTCATATTTTTGAACATGTAATTTCTTTAATAGATTGTAGGAATGTTATATCAGGGCCCATGACATTTTGATTGGCAAGCCAGTTCACTGTGGACTGGATGACATGACAATTAAATGGCTATGCATCTGGCATGAAAATCTTCCTGAAAGAATATTTTATCAAATATTCCTTATCAAACAGAAGTGACATGTTGAATGGGCTGCCACAAAATTCAGTCCTCAGCTGTATACTGAACATTTGTACAAATGATTTGAATGCAGACGTAGGAGGAATGCCTATCATATTTGTACATGATTTGTTTCACTTTACCATGGTAGAAGCCAACAACATTCAGTAACAACTGGAAGGCATGTAAAATCTTTTATACTTCACTACCCATTACATCAGAGGCTAAATTAGGTGATCATTTGTGGATGAGGAGTCTTTTAAATCCCTGTTCAGCCTTATTGGCTGCCCTTCTGCTGTTATCTACCTAAAAACTGTAGACAGTGGTGTGTGAAATATCAATAAACGTGAAGAACACTATTTGCTGGGGCTTGAAATGGTGTAACAATGAAATAGCATATAACAGGCTGAAATAGTGAATGCTGAAATGATAGAACCAAATCCCCACTACAATTATCTTATACATTTATTGTCTATATAAAGAAAGGAAAGGAAGGGGAGATAAATCCTAAATGAAAATGACTCAGCCTTCATGATACCAATATGTTTTTTTTTAAAAAAACACCTTTATCTTATATCAACAAATGAATTAAAGGAAGAAGGACATAGGAAAGAAGGAACTTAGAGATGACACAGTCCTGGTGTCCTGCTGTAGTGCTCTGATTAGCAGATGTTTTCCATACTGGCTGGTAATGTGCACAAGAGAGAGGACAACAGAGCCAGAAGGAGGTTTTAATCAATTGCTGTACCTATCAAGGTCTACACATGCATAATCAGTACAGTTCTATTCAGCAGTAGATCAGAACAAAGGCCACAAAGGCAGGAAGGAGTCAACAGTGGCAGCAGCAAATTTCATGCCAGTATAATTCTTCACCAACCCAAGGATGGGTGGACAATACTTTACCTCAGTAGCGCTTATGATTCACATGCAATCAACGTTCAGCCATGTACATATATATGTATAGCCTCCAGAGATCTTTAAAACTCGTGTGGGTACATTTCCAATCCATGAGCTATTAACATCAAATGTTTTCCAACACAGATAAGGTAATCAAAGAAAGAAAGAAATCTTTGAAGGTTGAGGAAGAACTTCAAAAGATCCAGAAGAAGCGGTACTTGGATTTTCTTGACATTCTTCTCTGTGCCAAAGTAAGTATTGCAATGAGGAAAACATCAGTCAGTTAATTATACTAGATATGACTCTGATTTCCAAATGATTTTAGTACTAGTAGACGTATATAATCAAATAAGAACCCTGCAGCTGTCATTCATGTCATTGTTCTTTGGAGACTAATATATTGTAGTATATATTACAGTACATATGAAGTTTTCAAACTCTCAAAGGTAACTAGATATAGATGATATAGATATATAGCTATCTTTGAGAGTTTGGAAACTTCAGGTGATGCAAGAAACAAAAGTTGTTGCCCTCTTAACTTTTTAGAAAGGGAGATAATAATGTTACTGGAAAAGATTGCACCCACTCCTAAGATCTACTGGTTTCCTTTGAACTTTAGGAGACATATTTGTTTATCTGTCTGTCTCCATCCTACTGTCTGGCACCAAAGATGCTTTCTATTCAGGTTGCCAGTTCTACATTCTTTGCCAGAGAACTTGCTTTCTGAGAACATGCAAATCATGGCGTGTTGGACGTATTTGCTGCACTAGGATTATATGCAGCAGAAGTGAGAGACAGATAGACTTTGTTCACATTATGCTATGATAAATGCAATTAGCTGGGGTCACAAAATACTTTTTTAAAGTAATTTTATTAAAAGTTTTAAAAAAGAAGATAAAAACTAATACAAACTAATATAAAGTAAGAAAGAAAAAACCAAAGAGCTAAAAGTGCAAGAAAGTAAGAAAAATAGAAAAGAAAGAAAAAAGATACAAAGAAGTGGCTTCCAATCTTCTTTACAGCAAGTATAAGTACAATTATACATTTATCTCTTACTCTATGGTTACCACCGCTCTCTTCTTTCTATAATCTATCCTGTCTAATCATCAAAACCATAAATCATAAGTTCATTTTTTTCTGTTTTCCACAAAAAGTCCAGAAGGACTTAATCAGCAATAAAATTAGATACTGTCTTTTCTGTAACCAAAGAAGTCAGTTTGGCCATCTCAGTGAGTTCCATCATCTTCACCAACCATTCCTCCATTGTAGGTATTGCTGAGTCTTTCCATCTTTGTGCATACAATAATCTTGCTGCAGTTATCATATAAAAAAACAAAGTTCCATGACTTTTTTCCAACTGTTTTTCCATCAGTCTGAAAAGAAAGCCTTCTGGACTCAACTGTATATCAATCTTTAAAAGCCTCTGAATCAATGTATGTATTTGAATCCAAACTTTTCTAGCTTTTTTTACACATCCATCAAGCATAATGAAATGTCCCTTCTTGTTGTTCACATTGCCAACATGTATTTGAAGTGCCTTTATACTTTCTAGACAATTTCTCTGGTTACATATACCAATGATACATCATTTTGTAAAAATTCTCTTTAAGATTATAACACAGTGTAAATTCAGTCCTTTCAACCACATATTTCCCCATTGTTCCATCTGTATATTATAACCAACATTTTTAGCCCAGTTTATCATACATTTTCACTTGTTCTTCTTCTGTTTCAAATTGCAATAAAAGTTTATACATTTTAGCAATTATGTGTTCGTAATTTGTACACAATTCTATTTCAAACTCAGTCTTACAATGTTCAAAACCATAAATTATTTTGTCTACTTTAAATCTTTCTAAAAC